ATTTAGTGCCAATTATTGAATAATCATTAGGTCTTGGCACAAGTTCCCACACTTGGTTTCTTTCAAATTGATTTAATTCTTCTTGCATTGCCAATAGCCAATGTTCATCAATAATTGCCTCATTAATGGTTTTAGGTTCAATTTGTGAAACAAATGCTAAATGATTGCATATATTTCTAATAGAATTTCTAGTAGTTACCCCTTTTGATATGTCACCTATTACTGCATCAATGGGGTGATTTCTTGCCGTTCTCCAATCCTTTGGAAGATCCATTTCTTCCTTGTTAGCTTGAGTAGTTTCTTCATCCTGAACTTGCCCATTTTCTTTTTGCTTTTCTTCTTGTCTTTTGTCAGTCAAGTTCGTGTTATCCATGTTTTCTACATCATCATCACAAATATTCTTTCTAGGCAGAGTAGGGTCAGTTTCATCAAAAATTACATGAATTGATTCTTCAATTACCATAGTTCTTTTGTTGTAGATCCTAAATGCTTTACTTGTGAGTGAATATCCTAGAAATATACCTTCATCAGATTTTGAATCAAACTTGCCAAGATTATCCTTCCCATTGTTTAAGACGAAACATTTGCAACCAAAAATGTGAAAATGTGAAATGTTTGGTTTTCTTCCTTTGTAAAGCTCATAGGGGGTTTTCTTTAAAATTGGCCTAATTAAGGCACGGTTTATTACATAGCAGGCAGTGCTTACAGCATCCGCCCAAAAATATTTTGGAAGATTGTTTTCATTGATCATTGTCCTTGCAAGTTCTTGCAGGACACGGTTTTTCCTTTCTACAACTCCATTTTGTTGCGGAGTCCTAGGAGTGGAAAAATTGTGTTGAATTCCATTTTCATCACAAAACATTTCAAAATCTTGATTTTCAAATTCTCCCCCATGATCACTTCTAATAGAAACAATGTTCAAAGATTTTTCATTTTGAATAAACTTGGCTAATTTTCTAAATGCTTGAAAAGCTTTACTTTTATGAGCAAGGAATAATGTCCATGTAAAGCGAGAAAAATCATCCACAATGACAAATGCATAGTAATTTCCACCAAAGCTCATAGTTTGTGTAGGTCCAAAAAGATCCATGTGCAACAGTTGTAAAGGCCTAGTAGTTGAAACAATATTTTTAGATTTGAAAGATGCCTTCACTTGTTTTCCCTTTACACATGCATTACATAATTTGTCATTTTGAAATTTAAGCTTTGGAAGACCAATTACTAAGTCTTTAGAGATCAATTTGTTTAAGTGATTCATGCCAATGTGTGCAATTCTTTTGTGCCATAACCATGAATCATTTTCCTTACTAACCAAGCAACTGTCGTCATTTGAAGGCATACCATCTAGATCAATCATGTAGATATTATCCACTCTATAGCCCTTAAACTTAACTTGCCCATCATTTAAACTTTCAATTTTGCAATATTTTGAATCAAAAATAATTTTAAAATTTTTGTCGCATAATTGACTGATGCTTAGCAAGTTATGTCTAAGACCTTCAACAAGTAAAACATTTTCTATACAGGTTGAAGAAGAGTTACCAACTTTCCCAATGCCAAGGATCTTCCCTTTGTTGTTGTCCCCATAGGATACATGTCCATGTTCTTTCCTTGTGATTGAGAGAAATTTGGTGTTGTCTCCTGTCATATGCCTTGAACAGCCACTATCCAATACCCATTTGGATGAAATGCTTCTCAAGTATACCTACAAAACAGTTTTAACGTTTAATCTTTGGTACCCAAATCTGTTTGGGTCCTTGTGTGTTAGTCATAGATCTTGTTCCCTTGGGAACCCATATTTTCTTTTGACTACTAACTCCATTCTTTCTAATCTTACATGTGGATGCACTATGTCCTTTTCCACCACAATGAAAGCATTTAATGAAAGGACTACTAGTCATGTAGGAAGGTGAAATGAAGAAATTCTTGTAAGATTTTTCTTGACTGTTAGTGTTGAATCCTAACCCTGATTTGTTAAACATACATCTTTGTTTTCCAAGAAGTATATTCAAGTTATCTCTACCACATGTGAATTTGCTTAGCATTTTGTTTAGATCATCATTTTCGTTTTTTAGCTTTTCACATGAAGTACATGATGATGATGATGCATGATTATTTGATGATAAACATTTAATACAATTTGCACTAGCATCAATCATCTTGAGTGTCTCATTTTCATCCTTTAAATTTTTTATTTCTTTGTTTAGAAATGCAACTTGTTTTTATAATGATCTAATAGTTTTTCTAAATTCTTTAAGAGTTTTAATATGCTTTAAAGATTCACTATGTAATTCTTCAAATAAATATTGCAGTTCTTCATATGAAAGAGAAGTTGTAGAGCAAGTAAAGTTTACCTCAGATTCCGATTCATTGCCATCTTCCATAGTCATGAAGTACATATGTTGTATTTCTTTGCTTACTTTATTTGAAGCTTTAGAATCTTGCAAGAAACATATGTTGGCTTCTTCCTCACTTGAATTATCGGGAGAGCTTGAATCTTCATCCCAAGCTGCATAGGCTTTCTTTTTGAATCTTTTCTTCTCTTTTGATTGTCTTTTCTCATATTTGTCTTTATTTTGGAGATTTGGACAATCGGTTTTGTAGTGACCAGTTTTTCCACATTCGTAGCATGTAATGTTTGTTTAGGTGATCCTTCATTTTTTGTTTTTCCTTTTGATGGAAAGGGAAATCTTCTTTGTGGGTTTCTTCTTTTGAAGAATTTTTCATATTTCTTTACAAAGAAACTCATTTCTTCTTCATCCAATTCATCATCAGATAGATTCTTTTCTTTTTCTTCAGCTTGAAAGATTGAGCTTGTTGCTTGGAGAGCCATTCCTTTGCTTTTCTTTTTGGATTGCTCCTTCAAAATTAGCCTTGTCAGTTCTAATTCATGCTCTTGAAGTTTTCCAAAGAGTGTGGCAATGGACATGGTCTTCAAGTCTTTTGATTCACAAATAGTTGTCACCTTAGGTTGCCAGTCCTTATTCAAGCTTCTCAAAACTTTCGTAACTAATTGAAAGTTAGTGCATGTAGAACCTAATGCATCTAAATGTGTAATGATATCAGTAAATCTCTTTTGCATACTTTGTATGGTTTCACCATCATTCATTTCAAATAGTTCAAATTCTCTAGTTAATCCTAGAATTTTAGAGACCTTAACCTCACTAGTGTAATGATATCAGTACTCTTTCCAAACCAATTTTGAACGATTTAAACCACTTGATTTGACTTTTCTTGACGGATGTATAAGGCCATGAATATGTAACTGTTATAATGCCATGATTCTTTTTTTTTGCTTAAGTCATTTGAAAAACCTTTAGATGCATGTTTGACTTGTTAGTTCAAGATTCATTTATGCATTTGATGATGTGTATGACTTGAGCTTATGCAATGCTATAATACTATACACCTTTACACATTTTCCTAAGTCCTAGATAAATATACCATTGAGATCTTGGACTTGACTTGATGTTTGGCTTGCATGTTTCTTGATTTGATTTCTTTTGGATGTTGCTTCACCTTCAAGCAATCTTCTTAGACTTCTTTTTTATTGTTGTGAGTTGTATCATTCTTGAGGTCTCTTCCAATGTTGTTTGTTATCATTAAAACTCTTGAATTATAGAGATATTCATTTTGAGTGCGTTGGTTGCACAAAACGTGGTACCAAAACTACCATGTCTGAATTCGATGACATCAGTATCGCATCGTAATGCATTAGTATGATAATAAGTTTGACTTGGAAATTAATCTGGTCTAACTTTTTAAAAATGAGCTTCGTACAATCAAAAAGTCGTCTTCCCCTTTCATGTGCTCTTTTGTACTGTTTCTCTCTTTAAGGATTCTCCATCTTCCATTGGCTAAGTTTATTAACAAGTGGTTGTTGAGAATTTGCTCTTCGCCGACCCCCCTGCGCTGGAAGCCTCTTCTCTCTTATGCGTTTTTTTCTCCCAAATTTTTGTCGCCGTTATTATGGGTTTTTAATTTACGCAAATCGCTTGAATGATGAAATCGTCCGTTTCCATCTATCTAACGTGTTTACCCGTCGATCCTAACCGATTTAAGAGAGAAACGATCCCAATTACGATTCAGATTATTTGAAGGAAAAAAATCGTAGGATCGAACGATACTACAATCTTCCACGCAATTTTCATAACCTTGCCTGACACAAAAGGAGGTAACCCTTCTCGCCTTGTCTCTACCGTTTTAAAATGATCCAATCCATCTCGCTCCACCAAACGACTAATATATTAGAAAGGTAATTTTTTTCAAAAAGTATACTTCTCATAAATATGAAAGGTATCAAATGAAGACAAAAGATGTGCAAAAAATATCATTAATGAATATATTTTAAATTAAAATTTAAAAAAACTAATTTGACGGATCAACCCTTTCCGCGGTAGGTTAAACCCATTTTGACCAATCCTAAAATAAGATGGGTTCAAATGTATTAGCGAATTGAAAATCCTAACCTAATTTATCATTTGGGACGGGTTAAACGAATCAGCTCGACGAGTTTGACCTATTTTATCACCTCCGTAGAAGAGTGTAGTTTATGTGGTGTGGAAAATAGATTAGGCCCGTTTAAGTTGGGCCTAGCCTGGTTGAACCAAATTAACCTTAGGTTAGGCAAGTGGCTAATTCTATACTTAAATTGTTTTATTAAAAGCTATTTATAAAGAAAAAAATATTTGTCGTTTTAAATGATTTATTTTTAATAAGACTACATCATTTTGGTATGTTTTTGTATTCTCCATTCTCCTCTCTCTTTTTTTCTAATTTTATAAAAAAGAAAAAATATCAAAACGACATAATTTCATTAAAAATAGCATAAAATTGTGTCATTTAAAATAACAAACACCTATAAATAATGTTATGTATTCTTTAGGCATAATTATATAAAATGAAAAGAATTTCATTTTTATTTGCTGACACTGCTTTACTGAGAATTAAAATAACAACGCAGAAATTTTTTTTTGAAGAAAATCTTAAACCCTAAAAAGTAATAAACGGTGGTGGCCGTCGCGGAGACGAAGAAAAAAAAGGAGAAGCAGAACAAAGGCAGAGAAAGCATTAGGTTTTTTTTTTGAGTTTGGGAATGGGGAAGAACGAGAAAACGGGGCTAGGTAGGTCCCTGGTGAAGCAACACAACCAGATGATACAGCAGACCAAGGAAAAAGGTCGCTTCTACAGGAAGAAGGTTCTCGAATCATTCACCGAGGTCTCCGACATTGACGCCATCATCGAGCAGGCACACGAGCCACCTCCTCCTACCCTACTCATCAAGCCCATCGATGAAGCCCAAGCCCAAGCCCATGACTTGACGCCTGAGGAAATTAGGAAGCAACAGAAGATAGAGGAGGCACTGCATGCTACCAGTCTCCGAGTTCCTCGCAGGCCAACATGGAATTCTCATATGTCGGTGGAGGAGCTTCATGCTAATGAAACACAAGCTTTCTTGGTTTGGCGTCGTAGCCTAGCAAGGTTAACTCAATTTTTTAAAGAAATGGTTTCTGTTTTAAGTGTTGCATTTGAAGAATTAAAAAGCTTTTATCTATTTTTTTAATTTATATTGGTAAAAAGAGTGATTATGTTTTTTCAGGCTTGAGGAGAATAAGAAGCTTGTCCTTACTCCATTTGAGAAAAATCTTGATATCTGGAGACAGCTCTGGCGGGTTGTTGAGCGTAGTGATTTGGTAAGTTGTTAGTATTATGATGTTTGAAGTTTTACCTAGAAATATCTTACTTTTGGGTTCATAAAGAATTTCAATGTAATTTATTTATTTATTTTTCAATAAATTGTTGTCTTTTGAGTTAATTTAGCACAATTCTTTTTGGAATGATGATGCTTTCATTTTAATGGATCTTGATGAGAATATGATTATGTTACCGTATACAATAATTAAAAAGAGAGAGAAAAAAAAAAAGGCAATCTGTTGCTATAAAGCTCACCATGCTCAGGGTACAGTACAGGTCACAGTCATGCCCATTGTGTGAGTCTATAGTAGGCAGCTTTACCTTGTATTTGCAAGGCTGATTCCATTGTTCAAACCGTGCCAGCACCAACTGTTGTGCCAAGGCTTAGTTATATACAATAACGACTTAGTTATTCGAACTGAACTCAATGATGATGGTGCTGGGCACTTTTATTATTTCATGGTCTTGCTTCTCTGTTGGTGAGTTCAATTTCACTTCCCTTGTGTCATTTGCAGGATGTAGTTGGCAATAGTGTTAGCAAAAAAAAATGCAGTATTTATATAGCATTCAAATATAATGTAGTTCCTGTCTTCCTTATAAGGTGATTGTTTGGATTTACATTTTAATAGATACAGAAGCAATTCCACATATGCCACAATACTTTGCGATCTTTTCTTATTGTTTCCTTTTCACTGTATTGATTAATTTTATTAGATTTCTAGCTGCCCCTTAAGCAAGCTGGACCTGCATCCTTAGCTGCTAACTGAAGGAAGATCCTAAAAACAATTTGAATTTTTTAAAGAAACAAAGCTCTGGTTGGGACTATGGATAATAGCCTACTTTTTATCCCTCCCCAGATGTGCATTATTCTTTTCTTCCTATTAATATATTCTATAATTGAAAAAATCCTATATTTTATGAAAGCATTTGGATAATTGGTATTTTTGTTTTCATTAGTTATGCTTTTATATTTATAAAGAAATATCCATAGTGTAGAAATTTTTTATCTGACATTTGCTCTGTATTTTCTCAAAGTGCATGAAATCTTGAAGATGATGATCTTATTCTGTCTCACTTTTTTACCAGCTTGTTATGGTCGTTGATTCGCGAGATCCACTGTTCTATCGCTGTCCTGACCTTGAGGTATGATGCTTTTTTTTTTCTCTTCCTTAAAGAAATGCTAACATGAAACCTCTGGAGATTACTAGGTCAGTAGCAAATCTAAGCACTGACTAATAAGGATCAGATATAGCTGAATCATTTGTAGTGGTAGTGCCATTCAAAAAATCACAGTTTCATTCAGAGCCTCCATTTTTGTTCTTTAAAACATAGTAGCAATATAGCATATTTAAATCTCTGTAAGAAATTTAAAAGACAATAATGACAGATTTGACTAGATATCATCTGTCTGTAATCTATGTAGCCTACTTTGGACATTTCTTATTTATTTCGTTTTAAGAATCATTCCATCATGTGCACCAAGCATGACTCATTTTGCATTTATTTTACTTTGGGACAGGCTTATGCAAGAGAGGTTGATGAGCATAAACGCACATTGCTTTTGGTTAATAAAGCAGATCTTTTACCTGCTTCTATCAGGTTTGAATGTCCCGTATAAGGTTTATACTGCATTAATATCTTGCCAAGATCCTTATTATTTATCCACTGTTTTCTTCTCCTTTCCTGCAGAGAGAAATGGGCAGAATATTTTCGTGCTCATGATATCCTCTTCATCTTCTGGTCAGCTAAAGCTGCATCTGCAGCTCTGGAAGGCAAAAAGCTTGGTTCATCATGGGAGCCTGATAACTTGGGGAGAACTAATAACCCAGACACGAAGATATATGGAAGGGATGAGCTTTTGGCCCGCTTGCAATCAGAGGCAGAAGAGATAGTAGACAGAAGGAAAAATTCAGGCTCCTCTGACACAGGACCTTCTACCACTAAATCCCCTGGTGAAAATGCTTCTGGTAGCTCATCATCAAGTAATGTAATTGTGGGATTTGTTGGATATCCTAATGTGGGGAAGAGTTCAACTATCAATGCTCTGGTTGGTCAAAAACGGACTGGTGTCACCTCTACTCCGGGTAAAACAAAGCACTTTCAGACATTAATTATTTCTGACGAACTGACCCTTTGTGACTGTCCTGGATTAGTTTTTCCATCTTTCTCAAGCTCAAGATATGAGATGATTGCTTGTGGGGTGTTGCCTATTGATAGGATGACTGAACACAGGGAGTCTGTCCAAGTTGTAGCTGATAGAGTACCAAGACAAGTCATCGAGGCAGTTTATAAGATCAATCTTCCTAAACCTAAGCCATATGAGTCCCAATCACGCCCTCCTCTAGCATCTGAACTTTTGAGAGCATATTGTGCTTCTCGTGGGTATGTTGCCTCTAGTGGACTGCCTGATGAAACTAGGGCTTCCCGTCAGATACTGAAAGATTATATTGATGGGAAGCTGCCTCACTATGAAATGCCCCCTGGTATGTCAAATGAGGAACTAGCTTTGGAAGATCCCACCGGACATGACTCAGTTAACTTGAATGTGTCAGATGCATCTGGTACTGAAGATTCTTCAGATGTTGAGAGTGAACTTGCACCAAATCTTGAACATGTATTGGATGATCTCAATTCATTTGACATGGCTAATGGACTAGTTTCAAAGAAAGTTACTATTAAGAAGCCTAAAGCATCTGATAAGCATCATAAGAAGCCCCAGAGGAAAAAAGATCGTTCTTGGAGAGCAGGGAATGATGATACTGATGGAATGCCGGTTGCAAGATTCTTTCAGAAACCAGTAAATACAGGTCTGGTGAAGGACTGATAAGGTCATGCCCCCTGGTTTTTGTACAACACCCTATCTGTTACACCCATATGAACATTGATAATCTGAGATGAAGCATAAGCTATAAATGATGTTTGAAAGGCATTGCGGAAATAGATGATGTAGGCAATTTCACTGAAGCTCGCCACATAACAGGAAAAAAAAAAAAAAGTGTGGGAAAATATTATGTATTCGTAGTAGTGAGTTATTGTTCTTATTAATGGGATGAAAGGGTTGTCATGGGATTGAAGAATAAAATGCTTGGATTAGTCAGAAAGAGTCAAGTGCAATCGTGTGTTTTCACTATACTTGTGTGTAAGAAATAATTTAGTTCAAATACCAAAAAAATGTTTTTGAAAGTAAATTCATCTAAATACGCACGTGCTTACGTATATTGCACTGTAAATTGGTGTGGTTGTACTGCCAATCACTGAACGTCTTCGACGGAAATGTGATATCTACAAGAATTAAACCTAGGATAAACTTACCAATAATTTGAACGATATTTGCTTTTTGAAATTATATTACTTTTTCATGTTTTATTATTGCACTATATTTTTTAAGTACACAGTCTAAGAATAAGAAATTTTTTGGTTACTTTTATTCATTCATCATCTCATATCTAATAATTCATATATATAAGATGATGATAATACTAAATAACTAAAAATATCATAACTTATAATATAAGCTTATTTTTAAAAGAAATGATTTATTTCTTTTAAAAGTATAAAAATGAAAATAAAAATAAAATTAACTTTCTTTTCGATAGAAGAATTTATTTCTTAGAAATCACTAAAAATAAATTTCTTACTTTTTAAGATGTTATATTTTTTTATTGTTATAATTGAAATGACAAATATCTAAAGTTTTTTTTTATTATTATTATGTTATATCAATTTAATATTTTATGACAAACTAGTCTATTACCCGTGCGATGCACGAAAAAAAAAGAAATCGGTTTGTCTGCCTTGTAAAAGTTAACGCAAATCATAAAAATATATCTCTGCATTTTATTTAAATTAACACTATTAAGTATCTAACTCCAACTTTTTGTACAAATAGAGTTGTCAAATGTTTAAGTTATTATGTTTAATATTTTAACAAATACTTCATAGTTGAAGTTGAATGTGATAATTCAAAAGATTATTTATTAGCTTAATTGCATAAGTATTAATTGAGTAATCAATAACAATCAATTTTTTTTTGTTAGTTCAAACGAAACTCTACTCCATGCATAAAGTTCTATACTTGTGGGCTTAGTGATTACTTACGATCCCCCAAACTTTGCAAAGGCATCTTGTTTGATCATTTAATATAAAATGCAAATGCCATTATATTAGCTTGTCCAGTAGTCATTCAAAAATTAAGTAGTTTGACTCATCTTTTTTTAGTATTTCTTAGAGATGGACTTTCATTTATCATAATATAATTGTTTCTAAAATATTTACAGCAGTAAATCTAATAATCTTAGTCACACAAAGACGTATTTGTTAAATAATAAATATAAGAAGAAGAAAAAATGTTAGTGGGCGAGGTGGGTCGGCCCTCTGGGTCGAGCCTATTTTGTCATCTCTAACTATCAACATTTTATATTAACATTTTGTTTGACAGTAAATATAAGGAAAAAAAAGTGTTGGCGGGTGGAGTGGGTTGGCCTTTCGGGCCGAACTCATTTTTTCATCTCTAATTGTCAGCATTTTATACCAGCATGTAATAAGTTTTTATATTTATCAACAGAAAAGGTTCTTATAGCTGCATCTATATTATTATCTATCTATGTTTTTTTTATAGTTGTCTCTAAATCGTCTTTCTAAAGTGTGTGTATTTGTGACATATATATTAGATGAAGAGTTGGCAAATATTTGAGTTATTACGTTTAATAATCTAATAAATACTTAGCCACACAAAAATGAGTTTGTTAGACAGTAAATATAAGAAGAAAAAAATATATTGGCGGGCACGATGGGTCGAGACCAATTTGCCATCTTTAACTGTCAAGATTTTATATCAGTATATAATAGGTTTTTTATTTAAAAATACAGAAAAATATTTCAATAGTGATTGCAGATAAGTTATCAGCATTCACTCCCAAAACAATATTGTTCTCGGTTGAAAGATTAAAAAATTATAATAAAGACTATTATAACCCTGAAATAAATTATAATTACAAAAACACCTTAATTTATGCCTCAAAATGACGTTGTTTTGGACTTACGTTATCTGCAGTAATTACAGAAAAAGTGAACACTTAAAAATAATAAGTTATGCCTGATTTATATTTTAAAGTCACATATAATTTAAAAAATTAAATATAATTATAATTATAATTTTACTTTGGTTTTAAGTATATATATTCAATTCTTTGATTATACTTATTTATAATTTTTATATTTTTTTAAATTTGTTATTCATCTATATTTAAAACATTTATGTTAAGTATGTTTTTAAAAAGTGCTTGTACGAAAAAATATTCTTTTTTTGTATTATTTTTTTAAATTAAAATTTTAGTTTATTTTCATTTAAAGTATAAATATGTCATTTCTTATTTTTTTTGCATTTAAATTTCTTTAAATTATTTTTTATCAACTATACATATATTTTTATAATTTTAAATATTTTTTTCGTTTAATCTATAATTTTATATTAAATTAAATTTATTATATATATTTTTTTTCACCGAAGAAAATTAAATGCTGAACTATTTTCCCGACCTTAAAGTTCAAAATTTAAATTAAAAAAGTTTGAATTTTAAATATTAAATATTTTCTCATCCAATAAATATAATAATAAATATTATTAATAGGTTTAACAATTTTCCATGTAGAAAGTAGTGAGAAACATTAAAATTGTCTATAAAATACTTAATGACAAATATCTTTATATGATATCTTTATATGATGCAAAAGTTAGATGTCACTGGTAACTGAATGGTCATTCATTTTAATAGTGATTAAATTTTTATAATATTTTTTTTACAGAATGATAAATGTCCTTTTGTTTATTTAAATTTAAAATTTAAAATATTTTGTATTAATTATGCATATTTTTTTAAAAGTTATTTTTTCTGTTTTAATTTAAAAAATTTATATTGGTTATACATATATATTTAATACATTTTTGTTAAATATTTAAAAAAAAATACTTGTACATAAAATATATATTTTTTCACTCAATAATGTTTCATTATCTTTAATTTTAATTTTTAATATTCCCAGTACTTTGAACTATTATTGAATTTATAAGTATACTTTTCTTAAATCGACAGAGCATTTTATGGTTGAGAAGAAAAATGCTTGTAATTTATAATTTTTAAAATTGGTTATATGTAATACCCAGTAGTACTCCGGTTGTTAACATATATGATATTTAGCGTACACAACGGAAGACTTTATTTTATTAAATATAAAATCATCTTATAAAAATATGAGTTAACTTTTTCCAAAACGTTTTCTAAAAACATTTCCAAAATCGTTCACATGAGATATTGCATAAGCATACATTCTAAAACATACATATACTAACTAATCCTATTAGCCACTAGGAGTGGCCATTGACTAACCGAATATGACAACAAGTGTCATTCCTGCTAAAGCCTCACGGACAACATAACGACTGTTTAACAGATATCCGGGAGATAAGAACCTCACTCAATCAAATAATCCGAATAGACATAGTTTGTATAATCAGACATCTCACAAGTCCCACATGGACTGTGATCTCTTCAATGTGTCAATACATACATAAGGCTCCATGCCCAAAACTAAACGTCAACTACAGTATGTTCATATAATCAACACATGCATCTAAACAAATACATAATCAATACATAATTCTCCATAAGCTCATTAAATATAAGTCATGAGAATTATTACACAATTAACATAATCTCAACATACATAACTATAGCATGATAAAAACTATACATGCTATCAAATAAATATCCACTGGCACTCACTAGCCACGTGCCTGGTCCTTACCCATGGAGGGCTCACCACTATGGTAGGTACCTGAAATGATATCCCTAAGAAGGGGTGAAATAACAACAATCTCAGTAAGCTCAAGGTTTATAGAGAAGGGAAAAATTTTTCTCCAGTTACATAAGATAAGTCTCTCTCATGTACTAACAAAATGGTGGGCCCTTTAGGTTTTTTTTCTTTTCTTCTCTTTTTTTTATAAAAAAAGGGGTCCCACATCGTTTGTCTCAGCAACATAAGACAAGTTGTCTTCTGTTGCATAAGAATAGTAAACCCCTATAAAGAATCCCCTATTCCCTTAAACTCACTTCCTGCATAACAAGTCAGATATAAAGCATATATATAATCATACAACATAAACATAGCAACATATCTTATCCTGGTTAGCTATTCCAGGTCTCGAACCTCGAATAGCCAACACCTGGCATGTCCAACATGCTAGTGTGCAATAACCCCCAGAGTACAGTCATAGGCAGCCTACACACAATATCTCAAGAGCATGAAATAACTCAAGGGAATGACCCAAGAGCCTACATACATATTCACTGCTCAGGAACCTTATAACATACATCAACAGTGCCTCATAACATAATGAATCATATAATCTCTAAATGAATATGGATGAATGCACATATACAACATATCTCATACTTTCATACAACTGCAATCATAATGCCCACCATCATGGTGGAGTCACAAGAGAAGAGGAACATCCTAAACAAAGTTTACCTTAAAGAGCTATACTCAAGCCTACTTGCCTAGGCAAGTACGTATGCTCCAACTCAATGTCCTCACAAGCAAGTATCTCCAGGCACACCTAGAGAAGGAATCATACATATACATTAATGAAATATTAATTAGTCAAGTAAATATACAAGACTTAGCCATTTATTGATTCCATTTCCTTTTTACATACTCATATGCCAATAGTATGCCCAACACAAGTCTAGACCATTAATTTCATAATTACATGTTTTAGTTCATAATGAATTGTTATCTCACAACAAAATCAACTATGTGATTTATGCACTTCAATCATCTTAGAATTACAATCTAAGGAAACTAAGATAACTTGTATTAATTTCAACTCATCCTAGCCATATATATCCTTCATGACCGTGACATACATAGGGTACATAAGGTGTTCATTTGTTCCCTAACTCCACAATAACTCATTAGACACTTAGTCCATCAATAACTCCTCTTAGGTTAAGGCCTTTTCCTCTTAACTTACAACTAATCAAGACATTTATCACCACTAAACATCATTCATAACCTTGAACATTAATTCACATTAGGATCCCAATACTTAAGTTTACAACTTAAGACAATTCAAAGAA